TTTTTCCATTTCTTTGTCAATTTTCTAGATATTTTTACGATTTTATTTTAAATAAAATACAATATATCGATAGCCATACTAAATAGAAACTGAAAGAGATGCAACAATCTTGGCATTATTACCAATACCTCCTTCCATAAAAATAATTGCCACAATCACTGTAAGCTCGGCCCGCAAAAATTCCTTATACCAATTGCAACAACCGAATCACTAATGCGCATGGTTGCGAATATATACGGTTTGAGCAGCCTGATCCAATTTAATTACAATGCAATTACAATTAATTCGTCTGGAGAATTTGAGTCCTATAAAGTTTTAGCGATTAAACTCGCCTGGAGATTCCCTCACTATAAGAGATACTTAGCTTTTTTAATATGCCTGTTTATGTCTTTATGCTGTCACTGCAATAGACCAAAACATTCTAAAAATTACATTTGGCGAAATTTTCAGGGGAATATCCGAGTATTTTTTTTTCCTTCAAGACAGTCACGGATGGCTGCAGATGCTGCAGAGGGTCTACTCTCTGGTCTAGAAATTGCATATTAATGGTAAAATTTGATTTTTCCAAAAAAAAATTCTCCATGTTTGAAATATGAAGAATACCGTGTAAATGTCCTCTTGATATTCCAAGAACTAAAAGTTATGGGCGATATACTGAGAAGCTGTGGAACGACAAAGTTCCTAAGTGTGTCAATTCTTTGCCAAACTTCAAACGTGAGATTATCTTCAAAATATTCAGAAAATGTCACGACCGATTGCTTCTAAAATTTTCGAACAGGTTTTCTACTTCGGAATGAATTTTTTTTTTACTTAATCAGGGTTCATAGTTCAAAAGTAATAAAGAATTCCCTGACTTTACCAGGTTTTCCACGACTTATAAAAAAAATCCAGGTCACTTGTAGTTCATTTTTACATACTAATTGGTATTTATGCATTAAATTTTTTCTCGACTGGACTCAATCTTTTTTATACCCTAAAAACCTCATAAAGATTTCAAAACCACAAATAGTTTTCTCTTTCAAGAACCCAGGGCCGGCTTTCACAAAATTTCCAGTTGCAAACATCAAATTCCCTGTCATGAATATTTTTAAAATTCATATTCCCTGTTTTTTATGAAGAATAACGAATTCCCCGACTTTTCCCGATATTCCCGGCCGCTAAGAACCCTGTTATTATTTTTTATCAAGCTAGAAAGGCCAGAAATTAAGGTTGCAAAAATGTAACGTGCAATTATTGGCTGCCATTTTATGGAAATTTTTTTTTAAATCCTACATTGCGAAGAGCATTACAGTTTGAGAATCTTTTTGAAATTTTCTCTGCACATCAACTGACTCATGTAATCTTGGGAACCACAGACTTTGTGAGCAAGTGACATTTTTTATGCTGGCCATGACAGCAGAACTCCCAGTTGGTATAAAGAAATTTGTCAGCGTACCTGAACATGTACACTTTCAAATAAAACAAACCTGGATAAAATCGACCACATTTTTTGAGATAATGATTCCTAAAATTCACTTATTTTTTCCACTGTCTACTTGGATGTTCCCCCTTAGTGATACAATGCCTTTTTAATTTTTTTTTTTTTTTTTGAGGATTGATGCGGGTCCCATATTTTTTCCCTCGTTTTCAAAAGTTTAAAAAGTTGGAAAACACCCCAATAAAAAACAACAAATGTGTAGGAATGGAAACTAACAATTAATGACTAAATGTTTATTAATAAGTAAATTATGTACACTGGAGTCTTATATAGTGCTGTCCAAGTAATAAAATGAAATACGAAAAGAATATGAACGAACAAGAGAAACCAAGAGAGATAAAATACAAACTCACATTGTGAGCTCCATGATAGCATTCACTATATCATTCTGGTTATTTTTAAGGGCCTTTACGGCCTTACCCCTGCTTACGTTCGCTTGAGACATGACAAGCTCGACGTCCTTGTCTTCCACTCCAGTTTCATCAACTTCTTCATCCTCAGATTCTTCTGCGATTGGTGCTACGGATGTAGTTGTATTGCCAGCCGCACTGTCCCCTGCTGGGTTGACTTCCTTGAATTTCTCAGCGGCCGCGACTTGGGCTTGTGTAGACAGATCTTCGATTTTGGCTTCGCCGAATACAATGTACGTGTCACTTACTGGGTTCTTGTACACATCCGGTTTGTTTATGACGAACAGAATATTCTTGGATTTGCGTATTGTCACCCTACTGACACCTTGGACCTGGAAACAAATTTTGGAATCAGCAGTGAAAGGTGCAGGGGCCATAACCGCACATGTTTTAATTTCATCAGTCTGCCAAGAATTTAATCAAATAAATACTTTCAGATTAAATTTGCGAAACCTTGGTGATACTCATCATGTTTAGAGAAAGTTTTGTTAATAAAAAATACCATTGAAAAAAAAACATTTACAATTAATATTTTTTTTTAGACATTGAACTGAATAAATACCCAAATACTAATTTTATTTATGTTACTTACTGGTTTTAAACCTAACTTGGACATAATTTTTCTAGCCTTCTTTTCCCCCCTTGACTGTTTAGCTTTCGAGACCATATCAATCGGTAAACCTGCAGCAGCTGCACCTGGAAAAGCTGCAGAACCTGCATTAGCTGTGCCCGCATCTTCCAACTCTGGAATTTCCTCATCTGAATCACTATCTGTGGACGATTCACTTTGTTCAGGTTTGGCCTCAGCCACGACAGGCTTTTCAACTTCAGTCATTTCTGGCATCTGGAATTAGAGAAACAAATTACATATGAATTTGAATATAACTTTTTAATTGTTGGAACTAGGTTTATCGTTTTTCAAAACCTTGAAATTTATCATGTTTACAACAAAACAAAATGACAAGACACATACCAACAACCACACAACCACATACGTATTTTTTCTACATAATATTTGTCTACCAATATCCATATACCTAATTATATTATACAGATAAAGTGAATAAAGCTGAACCAAATGTCTGATAAAATTTAGATATCTATCCGGCATATTTGAATGTAGTGGGGTTAAAATACTTCAAAAGCATTAAAATCTAAATATTTTTGTAAATATATTTACCATTTACACTATAAAGTATTCCAATAAACGTTTATAAAATGACTTTTCTGTAGAATAATTCGAGATGACTAACATAAATTATAATTACCTTGTGCAAGAATTTTACCAAACCTTTTTCAGCAAACCAACAATTGGTGGGGGAAGTGCAGAAGGAACTGAAGGAAGGTAACAGAAAACAGAAATTGAAATTAGAAATGGAAGACTGAGAACATGGAACATAGAAGTCGCAGACTGAGTGATCATATAAATTCATTCGATTATTTTTAGACGAATGACGAATAACAGTGGCCACAGCATTACTAACGTCAATCGTCACTCGTCATCACCGAATAACGCAAACGCGCTGCTCGAGCGAGAGCACAGGTGTTTCGATTATTCCAACGCTCTAACGCGCGCCATTATTCTATGGCTAGAAATTGGCCTCAATGATTTGGGATCGAGGGGGATTATCCCTCTTTAGCCTGCCCTAAGTGTGTCAATTCTTTGCCAAACTTCAAACGTG